TTGAGCTCCTGACCTCAAGCGATTCTCCCAACTTGGCCTCCCAGAGTGCTAGGATTACAGGTGTGAGCCACCGCGCCTGGCCCTCTATCAAGATATTTTAAAATGCATCTGACTAGGTCATGCATGATTATTAGCATCTTAACAGATATCCCTCTATTAGTTCTCCAGTAGAGAGAAGAGCTCTGTGGCGTGGTGTATCTAGGAAGAAGGACAAAACGTGAGGAAAAGTGTAGAAAATTAACGTGTATGATCTAAATTACAAATTGGCTCTACTTTCAGTCTTTTTCTTAAAAGACTAAAGTTAGCTGAGAATTTCAGGAAGTGATCTCTGAAGATTTTTTATTAAAAAGAATGAAATTAAATCTTGGATCTCTTTAATATTGGTGCCCAATATCACACAACAGAAAAGCATGAGCATTAGAACTTCTAATAACCATCTAATGTTCAATTAAATAATACCTAATATAAACGTAAGACTATTTAGCACTTACTCTTTCAATTAGAAAGATTTTTGTTTGTTTGTTAGTTTGTTTTGTTTTGTTTTTTCCAGAAAAGCACTTTTTATTTGATGCAAAGACAAATCTGACTTTTAGGACTAAAGTTCCAAGAGTCAAAACTCAACTATTAGTGGCACTATTTTGATTCTGTAGATTTTGCTTCTCCTTGATCAGAAAAGGATATTCAGGTTTTATTTTTCCCAGCTGGGCAAAAAGGGCAAAGAAAATTGGAAGAGCCTTGTACTCTACTGATACTGCTCTTTAGACCCAGCATAAAGCTAGACAAACCCTCACTGGTCAGTCTTCAGGTTGCTATCCCACGGCTGAGGCCATACTACATTTGCAAAGAAGATGAGGCAGGAAAAATGGGTGTAGGTCACTTTGGAAGAGCAGGCATCCACAGCTTCAAAACTCCTCATTGAAGGGGTAATCCTCGTGGGAGGCACAGCTTACCAAGGCACAGACCCTCAAGTTTCTTTTGTAGCTCAGTAGGGTGGTCACATCATGGCTGCTCAGTTCAAAGTCAAATTCTTAAAGTTCTCAGCAATGTGTTCAGGTGTCACAGACTTGGGGATTACCACCAAGTTCCTCTGCATGGCAAACTGGATCAGAATCTGGGCTGGAGTTTTATTGTGCTTGGCTGCAATCAACTTGATCCTGGGATCCTCCAGGAGGGATGGGTCCTTGGGCTTGGCCCAGGGCCTGTCGGGAGAGCCAAAGGGCTATAGGCAGTCACCACAATGCCTTTTGACAGGCAGTACTAGACTAACTTTCTCCTGAGTTAAGTATAGGTGGCACTCAATCTGGTTAACCACTGGCTTATACTTTAAGCCAGATTTGTTTAAAATCCTCCTCATCTGGAGATGGCTGAAATTGGAGATGTCAATAACTGCCACCAGCCCTTCATTTGCCAGCTCTTCCATGGCAGTCCATGTATCCAAAATATCTGTGTCACTGGGAATCATGTTGCCTGCTTTGTGCATTGGGAAAAATTCCTTCCCAGCCTTAAAGCCTGTCTGCCAGTGAATAAGGTAGAGATCCAGGTAGTCCAGCTGCAGGTCCTGAGTGTATTCTTACAGGCTGCTTTCAGCAGGCCCTTCTTATGGTATAGACACCACACCTTGCTAATGACGAAGAGCTCCCTCCGTGTCACCACTTGCTCCATGAGCTTCTGATGGATGGCCAACCCCACCTCGTGCTCATTCTGGTACACATGGGCACAATGTGGTGGTACCTGACATCGATTGCTACCTTCACAGCCTCGGTCATCAGGCCCAGAGAGGACTTTAAGGTGTCCAGCCTCATCATGGGCATCTTGGTGACAGTGTTGACCACGATGTGGCCGGCCGTAGCTGCTGAGCTTCACAGACCCCTTCCCAGAACTATGAGAATTAGGAAGTTTTTGTCCAGTTGCCTACCTCTCCCAAAAAGAGCTTGTGTAATTGGATGCATGAAAGTAGTCAACATGGAGTATTTTCTGCTTTGTGGTATTAAGATTCAGCCAAGATTAAAATATGTGTTCTAGTACCTGTAATAAATGATTACATATGAAATCAAGTGATCTAGATTGTTGTCTGCTTTAAACATTTTATATTATACTGTATCATACAAAGAATGAATTAAAAACTTTCTAAAGAA